GTTCACTGTGACAGGGCTAAGATATATTGAGAAAGATCGATATTTGATCTCATTAAAAAAAAATGATTGGCCCAACTAAGTTATATTCCAACAAACTCTCAAACAACAGGCATTTTTACCAGGGCTTTACCCTTGTTGTGTTTTGATAAACTAATAAACAAGTTGGTCATAATCATCATATACCATCCATCCTAAGGGGTGTTGAAATAATCATTCGTGTCTTACACCTTTCCATCTTGAACAACTCAACAATCCATAGACAATCATTTCTATCTGCAACAATTAGGCAACTCATGGATAGCAGCTTTCCATCTACAATAATATATTAATTCATTGACGGTAGCTTTTCAATAATCCATCAATTCGTGTGCAACAATAGTTAATTTCTACTGTATCTTCCTATTTCGGTTAGATTACATTGAGGATCAGCCTTAAGCTCATATCTTTTTGCTTTAGTCATGGATGTTCTCACTAGACATTTGCAAGAGGATGTACCTTGGTGTATGCTTTTTGCTGATGATATTCTTCTTGTTGATAAGACTAGAGAGGGAGTTGAAGGTAAACTTGAATTATGGAGGTCAACCTTAGAGTCTAAAGATTTTCGCTTGAGTAGATCTAAAACTGAATATATGGAGTGTAATTTTAGTAGCAATAAACCTAGTGAGGGGATTGTGACTTTGGCCGATCAAGTCCTTAATAAGAGTACACATTTTAGATATCTTGGATCTATTGTTCAGAGTGATGGAGAAATAGATGGGGATATTATTAGCAAAATTCAAATTGGATGGTTGCAGTGGAGGAATGCATCAGGCTTGTTGTGCGATAGAAAAATCCCTCTCAAACTTAAGGAAAAATTTTATAAGATGGTGGTGAGACCTACAATGCTTTATGGTGCCGAATGTTGACCATTAAAAGAGCAGCATAATATTAAGTTAAGTGTTGCAGCGATGAGGATGCTTAGGTGGATGAGGGGCTTTACCCTTAGAGATAGGATACGAAATGAGCATATACGTGAAAAGGTTGGAGTAGCTCCAGTGGAAGATAAGATTAGAGAGAGTCGCCTTAGATGGTTTGGTCACATTAAACGGAGGCCTTCCAATGACCCGGTTAGGAAAGTTGAGGTATTAGATTTGACTTATGTTAATAAAGGTAGAGGTAGACCTAAAAAGACTTGGTTAGAAAATATTAAAAATTATCTTTCTTTATTAGATTTAAATGAGAATTTGACTTTTAATTGAACACAATGGCGAAAAAAGATTCATGTAGCCGACCCCACGTAGTGGGACAAAGGCTTGATGTTGTTGTTGTTGTATTGATATTTATTTCTCTACTTATTTATGTACAATTTTTCATATTATATTTTTCATAGAACAAGAAAATAAAATTTGGTCATACAATCTCTCATTTTTTACTCTCCTCTCCTCTCATTCCAATTTTCGAGTTATATAGTGGTTGTTTTCATAACTTGTACTTGAGACCATCAAAATACACTATAAAAAACTAGATCGAATTCATAAGCCTGCTCTCATTTCAACCATTTCAATTTTATATTTTAATGCATGTGATATTCGTCAAGGTCCTTGTAGCTTGGTGTATAAAGATAGGCTTTACAAAATTCAATATTTGCCAATTTCTTGTAATTATTGGCAAGACGCAAGAGAGATTTAAAAATTCATCTCGGCATTGTGGTCATCATAAATCTTTATCCTTTGGATTACGACTTCGATTCAATTCTCGAAAATGGTTTCAGGCATTCTATTTTAGGAAGGAAAAATAACGGTAGGCAATTTTAGAAAGTTCAGACAATACAAAATAGTCTGAGATGTCCATGTATTCATGTGGAATCATTTTTATTATGAGTTATTTGATTCTTTGCCATTGTGTTTTTTTTTTTTGTTTCCTCTGGTGATATATGCAGAGGATTTATCCGATCGATCGTCAACAGTACTTATTTAAGCCGTAATATATTTTCTATATGTATTTCAAAATGAAAATCATTGCTGTCGATCTTAATCGATGTTACAACTTACTAGTGATAAAATTTCATGAGATCTTATTGTTTTCTATCCATTGATCAAATATATATAAAAAAAAGAGAAAAATAAATGCTGTTGCCTAAAAGATCTTACCGGTGAATTTAATGGCCAAGATCAAATCCAATGATTTTTATCTAAAATTTTTAGGGTTTGTTTGAGATAGTTGCTACTTTTTATAAAGTTGTTGTTAAATTATTATGGGGAAATCAACTTAGCTATTCTGGTTGTATAAAGTAGCTTTCCATCACAAAAATATAAAAAGTTGTGATAAAATAACAATAAAGCAATAGCCAAATAAAATTGTGATTGCCATCTGAAAAAGCTAAACAATGAAAAATCTATCACAAACGGACTCGTAATCTCATTTGAGTTATGTGAAAGTATGTTGTATCCCTATCCAGTTCATGGATTAGATATGCTTGATCGGTAGCAAAATAATAACAATTCTTGTCAATTTATGCTTGATATTATTATAATTGTGGGTGTTTACTATATATTATTTTAGTATAAATTAACAATGTATTCATTAATTATTAATACTATGTATTATTATAAGAGTAATTATAATATATTGTCATAAATTAAATTATTTGTACTTATGTATGAATATATGTGACACTAATGATCTGTTTGGGTTGACTACAACTTTTGTAAGGCTGTTGTGGGCATAGTTGTCAATGGCGCAAAATAGCGCGCGCCATGGCGCACGGCGCGGCGCGGCGCACCTACGGCGCCATGTTCATGGCGAGGCGCATGTGTTTAAAATAGCGCGCGCTATTTGCGCCACATGTGAGCCATGGCGCATTGCGCACGGCGCAAAATAGCGCGCCGTATTGTTTTTAAATTTCTGTATACTTATAAATATTTTTTATATTTAAAAATATATCTATATTTTAAGATAAACGACTATTCATTGCCCTAATTTCACGAAAGATTTTCTATTTGCTGCATCCGCCGAACACATCCCGCAGTCCCTAAGTCGAGGTCGCTGAATCTATCCCGAAGTCGAAGGTTTTTTGTTTTCTATTTGCTGCATTCGCTACTTCCGCCAAATCTGTCCCGAAGTTGAAGTCGTTGTTTCCGCCGAATCGTCCCGCAGAGCAGTCCTTCTGCCAAATCCGCCCCCTCCTTCGTCTGTTCCAATAAAAAATCTTACCAGCTGACTCTGATTTGCAACCTCCGTCTGTTCCGCACAGCTCTGTTGTTTTGCACGGCTATTTCTTACAAGAATTTAGAACTTAACAGGTATGCTCGGTTGTCTTTCATTTTTAATAATATTTCATATTCATGCTTATTATTTTATATTTTTTATATAGCTTGCGCCATGTTCAAAATAGCGCGCGCCGCGCCGTGCGCTATGCGCCATGGCTCCAAATGGACCTTTGCGCCATGGTGCGCCATTCGCCGTTAACAGGTATGGTTGTGGGGAAAATAATTTTTTTGAAAGCTGTTGTAAACAACAGCTTCTCAGTATAAAAATTTCTTGAAAGCAATAGCTAAATAGAACTTAGCTTGCGGTTCGAAAAACAAAGAAGTAAAAAAGTTGCCCCAAATAGATCCTAAATTTTTAGGAATGTTAGATTATAATATTTAATAACTTTTGAAAGGGAGTCTTTAAAGCATATGAGTTGGGGGAGGAAATACTTCTACTTCCCCTTCCAACCAAATAATCAAAGCGGTTCACATCCCACTTGTTATATTTAGGATCTGTTTGGGATAATTGCAGATTTTTATTAGAGTTTGTAAAGCTGTTGTGAGAAAAATAGTTCTTTTAAGAGTTGTTGTAAAAAGCAACTTCCTAGCTCATAATTTTTTTTTTGGAAGCAACAGAAAAAGTATAGTCAAACATAATTGTGGGTGTTATCTAAAAAGTAAGCGGTTAAAATGTTGTTCCAAATAGACCCTTAATCAATCAGCTTCTTGAGCTTCATCAGAGCTAAAATTACATTCGGTTTTGAATAAATTTGGAGATGTTATGTTACATTATTCTTTGTCCAACATTTATTCATATGCCCACCTATATCGATTTGCATGCATAAATGCTTAGATCCACGTATGCTTAAATTTAAATATAAATACATATATTAATATATTTATATGCATTAATTCATTCATTTATGCATTGTTTTTAAAATAGGATCGGACCAATCGATTTAATTGTGAACTGGTCAAGTTGCTAGTTCGGTCTAGTTAAAAAATCGGATTCACATTGAAGCAACGAAAACCAATTTGAATTGGTAGTTCAACTGTAAAACTGTTGAACCATATATTTAAAATTTTGAAATATATATTTAAAATCATATATACAAATAAATTGAAGTAGCTGTCAGCCTGCCACATTATATAATTTTATTTGTTACTTGTGGTTTATGCTTTACTCTATATAAAGAGAACTTAAAGTGATGTTGAATTAAAAATCTGTGAGAATTTTGCATGAGAGTTGAAGTATTGAACTATGAAATTATTTGGATTGTAAATTTAAGCTGAGAATACATATACTTTATAGAAGTTAGGACCATAGAATTTTTTTATATTATAAAATTTATATAGTATATTAAATATTATATTATTATTTTTATCATATATATGTAATTATTATTATTATTAACCTTTCTTAATTTTAAAACCTATTAATATGCATATAATTATATTTGTAATATATATGTACTTATATTCACATTTATGATTAATCAAACTTTTAATAAGCTTTATGTTGAGTTTTAATCGAGTTTGTTCATGATCTTTAATCAAAGTAGTTATGTATTCTTTTAATTGAGCTTTTGATCTTAGTATCAATATCACAGCCCTGGCACTTAAGAGTTGTAGTAACAAGTGTTTCTCATACTTAGCCATAAACCTACTGTATTTTCCTTCCAGCAATCGTTTGATTCAAATGGGTTTGTGAATCCTATTTGATATTTCTTTTATCCAGAGCAATCTGACCCGATTTTGTGATTGACCCAGTTTGGGCGGATGCGGACACCTGGTTTGAGAGGCAACAGCAGGAACAAGAGATGCAGCGTCTGCAAGCAGAGCAACGGGCAGCAATGCAAGTTGCTGAGGAATTGCACAGAAAGAAAATGGCTGAAGAGCGACAGGGGGAGAAGGAAGAGGATGCTGAAATTAAATCTGACCCTATGGCTGTGGCTGAAGCGGAGATTTTAAGCCAAACTACCTAAAATATTCAGTTTTTTAGTATATGTTGTGGAATCACATAAATTGTAGAAGGCGCAAGAATGAAAAAAATTAATCTTTCATCTTCTTTTTGTGCTGTTGTACTTCAAAAATTGTTTACTTTGTTGAATTCCGGTCTCTTCGCTGCTCAACTTTTCAGCTGAATTACACTTGATTGATTCTCATCCTCATCCTTAAGGGTTTTTTATTTTAAATATAATTTTATTTATATTTATATGAAGGCCTTGTTTTTTATTTGTGTAATGAAGCAGAAATGAAATATTGTTAATGCAGCTCAACTCGCAACAGCTCAACTCACTTGATTGATTCTCAGTTTTGTTTTTTTGCTTTCGTTTAATGCTAAGAATTTACGGTAATAGTACTACCTGCTTAATGTAACCGTATCAATCAACATCGGGGATATGAGTATAACATCCCATACCATTTTGAGGAGCTCTTCTGCTTTCTTCTTCATTTTAATTTACTGATCCAAAAGACTTGAGTGACATTTGATTAATTTTTCCAAAACCCTAAATTTAAAACATAGATAAATACATATTGTAAAATCACAGGATCTGGAGGGCATGTAAAAGAATGATGGATTAAATTTAAAAAAAAAAAATCTGGAAAAAATTCAAATAATTTTTTCTTGAATGATTGGATTTTGTTCGAATGTGGTTCCAATTTAGTTCAAATAAATTTGAATTGAACAATCCTAGCCAAATTTGCTTGTAGTAGAAATTAATAGATATTTTGTGTTTTTTAGTTCAAAATAATCTCAATTTCATATCTAACATAATGTAAAATTTAATTAATCAGCCATAAGTTATATTTATTTTAAAAAAAATAATTATGAGAAAATATAATCTAATTACATTTGAATCAGTATGTTTTGGTTTTTTGGTTTTTCTCTCTCTAATAAAAATCATATTTAAAAAAATAAGAGTAGAAAAAAAAAAAAAATTAGAAAAAACATGCCTTATAAAATGCGGTAGCCATATTGATTCGTTAGGACCTAGGAATATGATAATAAATAGTCGTCTAAAGTTTTCTTACAATAATAATAAATATACAAAGTTTTTTATTCTTTTTAGAATGATGAACGAGTCTAAAATCATAAACGCAGAAACCAAATCAGATCCTTTCATATAACTCGGAGAACGAAGCTTGCATCTTTTTAGCTTAAAAAAAAGGAAGAGTCCGATTTGGATTCTCCGCAGCCACCTCGGCGGTTGCACGATGTGATTCGAGCATTCTTGTCATCATTGAATGGACTCTTTATAGGGTTCGATTTGCTTCTGAATCTTCTCTTTTTCTTGTTGTTGTTGTCGTCCTCCTCCAGTTGGGGGTGTCTCAGCTTGGGTTATTCGGGCTTTTGTTCTTCCTATCGGAACCATGGATTCGAGGGCGAACATGACGTCATTCGATCAGAAGGAGATCAATTGGGACAAGTAAGCTAAGGATATCTCCCTTCTTTAATGTGCATTCAATTGATTCCTTGGACTGCTAAGTCAGATCTTAGATACTAAGATTTTGCAGTTTCTCCGGCAAGGCTTTTTTTTTTTTGTGGGGGGCGGGGGTTTGGTGAACAAAGTTATATTCTAATATGATCTCATATTTTGTTTTTTCTTTATTTTTTTGATCTTTCACTTTTGCGAGAAATGTGAGATTGTACCACAAAATATTAGACTTTGTTCTTTACTGAATTTCTCTGATTCGGTTTTCCTCTTTAACTCTGTTCATTACTGCTTTATTTGGCGAGTTTATGATGAGAGCAGTTGCGTTGCGATTATTCATTATGACCCTTTTTCTGTCGCAGATATTGTCGATGTTGATTTTGAACACCTTAAAGCTTATATCTATGTTATATCGGCATGTGAACACTCCATAACATGATTAACAATGAAATCGTCCGTCACATTTTCAGATTGCAAGAGTTCTGCGCTTTTTGATGAGATATATACTAATTGCTGCCCCTATTGATACGCATATAGATTATTACATGCTGCCCATCAAACTATTGCACCTGGTAGTAGTTTTTTTGAGTAATGGATGGTGGCGTTTTGCCTTCCATGCAGCCAATGTTTTTCCCGTATGTTGCTTTTTGGAATTGTGAATTAATGACTGCATATATGCTCTAATATCCACTACTTTTTCTCTGACTCAGGTGAGTAAACATCATGTTACCAGAAAATAAAATGTGTAGAAAAGTGTACTATCTTTTATTGGTCACCTAGAGTGTCTGAAATGAACAAACCAATAGCAAAATTGATCAATTTCTGATTGACAAGCATTCTTTAAAAATTCGTTTTTATTGATGTTTCTTTTTGTTGATCTTTTTTTTTTTTTTCACTTTACCTTTTTGTATGCGTAGGCAGTGAAAAAAAAAAAAAAATCCCCTTCTCATCTCCTCAGAATTGCTTCTGTATCATAGTTGTTTCTACATCAATTTAAAGAATCAAAGGAAAGAAGAAGTTTTGAACATCTAACACTTATTTAAAACACTCAGATTATCCCATAACAGAAATTGTAATTATATTTTGCCAACTTGTCTGATATATTACTATATGTCTTGACAAATCTCAACAGGCTTGACAAAACTAAGTTGTTTGTCGTAGGAGCTGGCCTCTTTACGGGTGTTACTGTGGCCTTGTATCCAGTATCTGTTATAAAGACCAGGATTCAGGTCGCCTCAAAAGACAATCCTCAAAAGAATGCATTAGCAGTTTTCAGAAATATTGTAAAAGTTGATGGCATTCCTGGCCTATATAGGGGATTTGGTACTGTTATTACCGGTGCTGTTCCTGCTAGGATCATCTTCCTTACATCTTTGGAGACCACAAAGGTCGCTGCTATAAAAATGTTGGAACCTTTTAAACTTTCTGAACCTGTTCAGGCTGCTGTAGCAAATGGCCTTGGCGGAATGGTAGCATCTATATCAGCTCAAGCTGTATTTGTTCCCATTGATGTGGTATGACACAAAACCTAAGTATGAATTTTTTATTGGTTTTCTATGAATTTTTTTAATTCTTATTGTTAAATTAATAAGTTCTATTCATGGATACTGATTGAAAATGTTCCTGTCATAGTATATGAAAAATAAATTGTTCATTGGAATGAATTTGCCATGTTTTTAATGTGTATCAATATCTTCTTTCTATTGTATGACTCCATCGAGTTGAGAACTTTCTTTAGTTGTTGGGGATCATATTCTATATTTTTCTTAAGAAATAAAATTATGGAGCGATATGTCATCTCTTATTACTCACTCTTTAAGGCCATCATTTGCTCTGCCAATATTTTAGAAAAAACATGTATGGTTGACATTTGAATAGCCATATGTAAGTTCTAGTTCAAAGTCAAGCTATATGAGTCGAACTCTCTTTTCTTTAATGTGATATCTAGGGGAAGGTATTGTGCTCTAATCATTTCTCAAGAAACATGAACTAAGATGTGTTTCAAACTTTATCTCACTTAATTAAATGTTAATTGCACGGGAGGTTTTAAGAAAGGGCAACATACATGCTGTCATTATATTAGCGTGATAAATATCATAGAACTCAACATTAAATATGTTGCTATGTGTGTGATTGCCTTCATTGTAAAATTTGTGATAAATGCTCTTGATATGATATAGTAAATCCACACTTGTAGGATAGAACAATATGTTCTTCCATTCACAAGTGGTGTGGGAACTGTAACTATATATGATAGAGCAATACGTTCTTCCATTTACAAGGGGTGTGGGAACTGTAACTATATATGATAGAACAATATGTTCTTCCATTCACAAGGGGTGCGACAACTGTAACTATATATTATTGTGAAAAGTCTATCGAATTGTGCTCTTTCTTTATTCAGATTCTTAATTATTTGCTCTATGCACTTGGACGTCTTTTATTTTTATCTAACAACTTAGTTCAACTTATTAATGTATAGTTTTTAAAGCTGTTCAGGATAGCTAGCTATGATTGAGTTCATTGTTTTTTCAGAGATGCTTACCATTCTGTTAAAACTCGGATAGGATTGTGGATTAAGGGATATGGACTACAATGTAATATTTTATGAAAGATTTGTACTTCTATCTAGAATCTCCCAAGTTTTTGTTATCATTTTAATACAACAACATTACATCAACAACAACATCAAGCCTTCATGAATCTTTTTATTTCATTGTGTCAAGTTAGTCAAATTCTCAACAACAACAACAACATCAAGCCTTTATCCCACTAGGTGGGGTTGGCTACATCTATACTTTTTCTCCATCGTGTCCTGTTAAGAGTCTAATTCTCATTGAAATCTAATAAAGAAAGGTCATTTCTAATATTTTCTAACCAGGCCTTTTTAGGTCTACCTCTACCTTTCTTAATATAAGTCAAATATAATACATCTACTTTCCTAGCCAGGTCATCGGAAGGCCGCTGTTTTATGTGACCAAACCATCTAAAGCGACTCTCTCTAATCTTATCTTCCATTGGAGCTACTCCATCCTTTTCACGTATATGCTCATTTTGTATCTTATCTCTAAGAGTAAACCCACTTATCCACCTGTGCATCCTCATCTCTGCAGCACTTAACTTAATATTATTCTTCTCTTTTAATGGCCAACATTTTGCACCATAATTCATTGCAGGTCTAACCACCATCTTATATAATTTTTCCTTAAGCTTGAGGGGAACTTTTTTATCACACATTTTAAGGAAAGAATTATTTATTTATTTATTTTTGCTTTTGGTGGATACTATGGCCTCTATGTAGGAAAGTTTTCTAGTGAAGTTATCCCTTTGCTTAGTGAGAAAAAAAAAACCCGCTAAAGAAAGCTTTTATTGATTTTAAAAAAATGTTTCATAATATTTAGTTTATGTTACTTTTTTAAATCCTATTTTTCTTATAATTAGTTATTGCTGGGATATTTGGTTGCCTCACACCGTGATGCATATTAGCTTCTTGCTTTCATGTGATGTCTCTCTGGTGTTCTTTATTTTGGGGATTCCTTAGTTCAAATCATTGTGATCATTTGTTATTTGAGAAGTAGTACTACATGTTTTTTTACCTTTAAGGGTGTTTTGCAAATCTTTTCTCTTTCTTTGTAAGTTAGTTGTATGATCCATATTGTCATGTTTCGACTATTTGGTTATTGTTGTTGTCAATTCTGAATATAAGGGATATGCTTGTAAGTAAATTTAGTGGAATAGATTAATTAGAATTGATTGTGCAATAAAAGTGGACATAAAACTTTAAATTTAAATGAATATATAAATAAAGTTTTTCTTCTATTAGGTTAGCCAGAAGCTGATGGTACAAGGATATTCTGGTCATGCAAACTATAATGGTGGATTAGATGTCGCTCAAAAAATTATCAAAGCAGATGGATTCCGGGGCTTGTATAGAGGATTTGGCTTGTCTGTTATGACCTACTCCCCATCAAGTGCAGTATGGTGGGCAAGCTATGGTTCTAGTCAGCGTGTAATCTGGAGGTAATGCTCTTGCCAGTTACATTCTTAAAACATGGGCTTGTTTAAAATTAGTATGTTGGCTGTTCTAACACTTTTTAGTCATCCAAACGTTATGACACTGCACTTCATCCTATTTGAACTTTATTGTTACATTTCCGCCTTACCATTGTACTTTTGCTTGCATGCTATACATTGTATTGTTATTCATATTTTTCTTTAAACTAGTTTAAATGCACGTACACTCAGTACACATTGATAGAACTTTATTAAATAATAAAAATATTCTTTAAAAAAACTATTTTTTATTGATTATATTGTTTATTTAAAATAGGTTTATTTAATAGTTCTACATGTTATCTTCTTTTTAATGATAAAACAATAGGAATAATTGTAAAGATGATATAATTCTTGATGATAAGATTGAATAATATTTGAAATACATATATTGCAAATGCCAAATAATAAATGATAAAATGAATTAATTATTGATAATTTTTTTAGTGATATATAATTTAAAATATTTGGCAAGCACATCTTGCTCCCATATTATTATCTATAATTTCTGGATATATTTTCATTATCATTTATGTTATCAATTGAATATTTATTGTATCGAGGTACTTATTCAGTCTCTAATATTATGGGCTCCGAAAATTTGCACCCCAACCTCTTCTGCTTTTAGGAGAGTTTTAATGAATTATGTTCCGGGATAAATTTTTAAAAGGTAGATTGGGTTTGAAATAAGATACGTCTCAAAGATTTCACCCTCATTTTACGAGGACTTTATGATATGAGTTCTGGTTTCCTTTATGCGTAGCGTGGGTTTAGTTTTGCGATCTTAATATTTAAAATTGGAAATTTAGCCATCTTGCATTTAAAGCAGAAGTTGGGGGAATGGATGATGGACCCGATCAAAATCCCATTGTTTCGTTTTCCCGGGCCATCATAGTCCTTGGTCTACTTAGTCAGAGGAGGTAGTCGACCTAACATGACAGAAGGATCCTTGTTGGCAGTTATGTGTTGCTTCGTCCAATGGTACCTTGTAAACCTGAGATGAGTATTTATTTAAAGGGATAAATTTGAATCCACCTTAGCTAATTGAGGGCTTTGTGATCAATCAATTATATCTTATTGATTCATATCTCAAAAATTTGATGTTGTTGGAGAACATATGAGCTATGACCATAACCGTAATATAGTGGAGTCGTTGGACCAGTCATCAGGTCAGACCACAAGTTCTTTGTGGAGTCATCCGACCAAATCATTGATTAGAGGATCAATGTCACATCATTGCTGATAGTAGATTGAGAATGAATTTTAGTGATATTCTTGACCAGACATTAACTCTTTATGAGCTGAAGAAGTTTTCAAATTGCCCACCTCAACAAATTGTTATGGATGATGAATGGATTTTGCTTTAAGCATATTGATGGTTAATTTTAATTTGAAATATTTTAGGTTTTGATATTTTTGGAGTCTTGAATTTTCATGGGCATTTGGAAGGCCTTTGTAAATATTTGGAGTCCCCTTCGGTTGAGATTAACATTCAACACGTCCATCATCAGGGTGGCTTATGTGCATTTTTATTTCATTGATTGAACATTGTCAACTCTGTCTATTTTTCGACAGAGGATTGAGTTTGTTGTTAGCTGTATGATTTTATTAGCAAATTTTTCTGGTTATAAGCATTGAAGACCTAATACGAACAAATTAAAACAAATATTTTGGTCGACGTTGTGACCGTAAATTTGTTTGATAGATCAAGCCATGTTAACTCCTACCTACTCACATAGAAGGATCGGGCTCAAACTTGAATTTATCATTTGATACAGGTAGCATCATCAGACATGATGTGTGTATCTATAACACGCTTGTCGGGACTCATGCGAGTATTTAGGGGGCATTTTTATAATTATTTGTTTAACATTGTCAACTCTGTCTAATTGTTGACAAAGTATTGAGTTCGTTGCTGGCTTTGTGCCTTTACTAGTTGATTTTCTTCTAATAGATTTTGAAGGTTTAATAAGAATGTATGAAATAAATATTCCTAGCGACCTTGTGATCGTATATTTGTTTGATGGTTCAAGCCGTGTTGACTCTTATCCATTCATGTAGAAGGAATGGGCTTGAACTTAGGTTTATTCTTTGACCCACACAACATCCTCAGATGTCACGTGTGTGCCTACAACATGCTTGTTGGGACCCATGCGGGTGTATATTCTTATATGTATACATATTAATATGCTTGCATGTGTACTTTCATATTTGTATGTATACACATTGCAGTGCATGTGTGAGGGCATTTTAAAATATTTGGTGTTGATCAACTATGTGAATGATCAACATTTGGGTGTGCATAGTGCTCTATGTAGAAGCCTATAAACGACTTCTATCCACTTGTATGAATGTTGTGGATCCGGTGTCGTGGTTTAACATCGCGCTGGGTCTCATTTGGAAGCCTGTAGACGCCTTATGTCTGCTCGTACGAGTGTTGCCGATTCGGTGGCATTGCATTGAGTTTTGTTTGGGGAATTTGTAAACACCTTTTGTCTGCTTGCATGGATGTTGTCATCTAATATCGCAAGTGTTTGCGACTTTGCGTCTATTGCAGCTCTGGCAATTTTGCTTGTAGATGGGGTGTTGTGTGCATCATAAGTTCATGCACGTGCCCATAAGTGGATTATTTTGTTCACCCTGAGTCTCTGTCATATGCTCATGAAAGCTTGTGCTCACTGTGGGTTCTTAGCCCTTGTTTGCAAACTGAGTAATTTGGACATGACAAGTTATTTTGATTTCATCATTTATTATCATATACATTATTCATCATTCGCCTCTACTTGCTTATTGACCTTCATTTGAAGATTCTCCACAAGTTCACTTAGTGTTATATCTTTAATATGATTGTGTATTTATCAAATTAAAGCTCGGTTCCCTGCATTTTATCTTAAGTTTTATTACCTGTTGTTCTTTGTTCAAGCCCATTTTGTTCATTTAAGTCCCCTGTTCACTGAAAACTGTTAGCCTCTCGGTGTATTCTCCATTTGGAAAATTTTAGGAGGCATAGCCTGCCCTCCACGTCAAGAAAGACGTATACGGTCGGTGTTGAATGACACCGCGGCCGTAGTCTTCAATCTTACCACACCAAAAAAGGTGTGTTTGAGTCTTCGAGGGTACATATTTGAATACGCAAATTTTCGCCATAGGCACTGAGGCACATACGGGTACTTAATTTTTTACCCCTCCATGCTAAGAAAAGTGTGCACAAGGTTTGCCCGCCTCGCCGCAAACGCTTCGCCTGGTTTTCTCCCACCACGATGAGAAATGAGTGCATAGGGGGTCCCCCGGCGTGCCGCAAACTCCGAGAATGGGACTTGAAGGATTTTTAAGTTCAAAGAGCATTATACCTTTGTAGCGAGCAACGACGGTGACAACATCAAGGCGAATGCACAAAAATCTTTTCCACTTATTATTATTGTTATTTTTATTCTTCCCCTTTTTTATTCTTATTTCTCCTTTTTTCTTTTCTTTTTCTCTTTTTTTATATTTTGATGTTTGTACATATATGCATATGTACATGTATACATACATATATGCATATGTACATGCATACATACATATATGTATACGTGCATGTATACATACATGCATACATATATGTACATATATGAATGTATATCTAATTAATAATAATGACATTAACTAGTAACACTAATGCTATTAATTATGTTAACTAATAACAGTTGATGTTAGTCAACACAAAATAAAATGAAATGATAAACAAAAGGAAAGAGAGTCACTTACTGTTTGGGAGTGTAGGTTGATTTTAGGTGGATCTTAGTGGGCTTTTATATGGGGAGAAAATGCTGAGTGGGCTGTTGGATTTTAGTGGATTTGGAGTTTAGCTTTGGATTCCACGTGAAAAATGAGTGGGGAGCAGGTACTAGTTTGTTGTTGGCTTTAAGTAGCAGTATTTGGAGGGAGGAGTCGCTATATGTGGTTGTTGAGGTCGGCAAACAGGTGAAGAAAGGTTGATCCTAGATCTCGGCTGGGAGAGGGGTGCACGAAAGGTTGATACTTAGACTTCATAAGTATTAATGTAATTTCTAGGTATATTAATTGAATATGAAAAATAATCTGAGCTTCTAATATTAAAAATTGAAGTCCTAATAAAATTAAAGTGAATAATTAAACAATATCTGTAAGTAAGATTATTTATTATCATTCTCAAGATTTTTTATTCGATTTTTCATCATTGGAAGGATATTAAAAATTAGAATTGGTGATTCCATTTTCAAATATTTTATTTCAAACAAAAAATTTGATGAATGAGATTATGGAAGGAATTTAAGAATCATGATTTATGAAGAATGTATTTAAAATTAGGAAGAATACCTAATAGGATTAACATATATATATATATATGATTTGCTAAATATTAAAAATCTATAACAAAACCCTTTGATGTCATAATAATTAGCCTACATATAAAGCATTAAAATCTCATGAATTTTTGGGGTTAGGAGGCTTGGAGGAGAATATGTAAGGATGTAAATACTAAATAGGAAAGAGTTACGAAAGTTTTATGGCATATATTTAATGTTTACATATGAATATAAGACATTGTAAGTCAGACAATTCCAAATAATAAAAGATAAATAACAACTCAATGCCTTAATCAAACTAAAAAAAAAAATTATTCCTCTCACACTTAATGTTGTTGAGTATAGAATTGATGTGATAAAATTTTTAATTGATGAAGTCGAGTAAATTCTTTAATTATCGGTGTTGGAGCTGAATTGTTTAATAAATCATTCAATTTAAATTATGAATGAATTAAATGACCTAATTTTATACTAGCAATAATATAAGGCTAAGGTTGAAATCATCATAATAGATTTAATAAAATGAATGACTAAAATTTAATATGAGAAGAATCACAAGCCATTTTTATAATATATAGTATAGATAATATTGATAAAATTAAGGATGCGAAGAGACTTTTCTTATAATAGAGTTATTTA